ATCCCCGGTGGGGTCTGTGTGCGTGCGTCATGTTCGCTCGCCATAATACTTCACAAAAATGCAATGGGACGCACACACTTCACTGCTTTGATGGAGCTTGCGGCATGGAATGCTGTTGCAAAAGAGGCAGAGGCACCTATTGGCTAGTGACTGTGTCATCGCTAGTGACAAACTCCTCCTCTTTGCATCATGCTTGTACCTTTATGTGCTTTGAAAGAAACACACACATACAGTGGTGCCCCGCAAGACGAATGCCTCGCAAGACGAAAAACCCGCTAGACGAAAGGGTTTTCCATTTTTCGATGCGCTTTGCAAGACGATTTTCCCTATTGACTTGCTTCGCAAGACGGAAACGTCTTGCGAGTCTTGCAATTTTTTTCGCTTCCCCCCCCCTTTTTCTAAGCCGCTAAGCCGCTAAGAGCCTTTTAGCCGCTAAGCCGCTAAGCCTTTAATAGCCGCTAAGCCGCTAATAGCCTTTTTAGCCGCAAAGCCGCTAAGCCTTTAATAGCCGCTAAGCCGCTAATAGCCTTTTAGCTGTTAAGCCGCTAAGCCTTTAATAGCCGCTAAGCCGCTAAACCGCTAATAGCACTAATTCGCTAAGCCGCTAATAGGGTTGCTTCGCAAGACGGAAAAACCGCTAGACGAAGAGACTCACGGAACGGATTATTTTCATCTTGCGAGGCACCACTGTATTTTTAAAACAATCTTTAGAACCGGGGTCCCCAATGTGGTTCCCATGGAAACTATGTCACCCTCAGGCAATGCCCTTAGCACTTACCAAGGCCTCCCACTCCTTCCATTTTTTTTAAAAAAATAGCTTGGAATTTGTTTTGGATTTTTTCTTATTTAGTTGTGGGTTGCCTGCTTTTTATGCCTGTGTTTTATTTATTTGTGGGGGGTGGGGAGAGAGGGAGAGAGAGATAGGTGCCAACTCCCTGCGGCCCTGGGTGCCCAAGCACCCACAAAATTATCCATGAAGGGGCTGGACACACTGCATGGCACCCACAGCCCTGAGCACCCACAGTTGCGAGGCCAAGCTGGCACTCCTGCTGTGTGTGTGTGTGTGTGTGTGTGTGTGTGTGTGTGTGTGTGTTGCCTGCTTTCTTTACAGAGGGAGCGTTGCCAGTTTTCCTTCTGTGAACTTGTTGTTTTGTGGTTTCTTACCAAAGTTACTTAGATTCCCAAATGGGATCCCAGGCCCAAAAAGGGTGGTGAGAGATCCTTGCTTTAAAAACTGAGCATTTCCCCAACTCCTCTGAAAATGACAGTGTTGGACTAGGACCCAAGAGAGCAGGATTCAAATCCCCGATCTCGCTGGGTGACCTTGGGCCAGTCACTGCCTCTCAGCCTGGCCTACCTCTCAGGGTTGTTGTGAGGAGAAAATGGGGAGGAAGAGAACCAATGTGTGCCGCCATGAGATCCTTGGAGGAGAAGATGGGAGATAAATGTGATTTTTTTTAAAAAAATAAATCTTTCCTTAATGAATGTATGAATGACTATAGCCCTTTAAACACAACCAAAAACTGCAGCAGTATCACAATAATTTCACTTTTGGACAAAATATTACTTTAGACCTGTGCACTGTTTGGTTTTGCTTGCTTCTTTACATTTTTTTTAAAAAATTATATGCCTTTTACTGTTACAAATCTCTAAGGGATTTACAAGTGAAATTATTGAGAAAAGCAGTTGAAAACAAGCGATTTAAAATGTCTAAAAAGAAACGAAACCAGCGATAAACTAACAAGAGGAGCTTAGTTGTAAAGGAGCTTACAGGGAGTTTGATAGTAAGGCAAATCGAAGCTGTGAAGGCCAATTAAACACAGTTTGCATGTGCATAGATACTGGCCTCATTCACATATTTGTTTTGGCATCTGTCTGTCTCGAGAGACAGGTGGGTGTGAAGCCAAACCACTGCGTTAGCAGTACCAAAGCGGCCTCCCAGGGGCGCAATCATGGGCAATGCGCATGGAGGTCCTGGGCTGCCCCAACGACAAGACCCCCTTTCTCAGCCTCACTGATGTGGTCCAAAGGAAAACAGAACAAGATGTTTGGCACCAGCTGGGCTGCAGGAGCTGCCCAAAGGAGGCATACAAGACACCATCCAACCGCCTTAGGGACTCCACTCCACATTTGTGTAGGGTTTACTCCATAGACTTTTTCTTCTCCCAAAGATGTCCCGCAAGGCAGCGGATGTTTAGGACCGGAGTTTTGCTCCTAGATGGGCCACCTTTCCAAGTAGCTCACCTTACCCTCACTTCCCTCTACGACACGTGCGGAGGAGGAAACCATTCCATTGCAGGGAGAGAAAACCTTTCTCCAATGGAAGGTTTTCCTCAGCCCAACTGTTATGTACTGAGTTGAATAGGACCCACAAGGCAACAGTCTGATTGGTCCTAGAACAATAGGATTCAGAATGCAGCAGTCTGATTGGTGCTAGAACAATAGGATTCAGAATGCAGCAGTCTGATTGGTCCTAGAACAATAGGATTCAGAATGCAGCAGTCTGATTGGTCCTAGAACAATAGGATCCAGAATGCAGCAGTCTGATTGGTCCTAGAACAATAGGATCCAGAATGCAGCAGTCTGATTGGTCCACTGGAGCCACCCAATCCAACTCCAGGTAGAAGGGAATCCGTAACCGGATTGGCCTACAGGAGAATCCCGGAATTAGCCAATCACATGGGGCCCATTGTGTAAATAATGTATATAAGGCAGACATTCTGAGGGAACTTCCATTCCTCCTCACCACTATGAGCTGAATAAAGAGCATGAAATCCACTCTCGACTCCGAGTATATTTCACCAACCCACGGTGACCTGTGTGTGCCAGCTTAATCTGCTGCCCCTGGGCTGTTGGAGGGAAGCTCCTCTTAGTTCTTATCCCTGCTGCCTCTCAGTTCTTATCCTTTTTTAATCTTTAAACCAGAACTGGATCAAGCAGACCTTTATCCGGAGGGCTCCTTGTGGCCGTCCTGATGGCAACTGAAGCCAGCCCCTGTTTCTTGCAGTAGCACCTACTCCAGCCACCCTTTTCCCTAATCAGGATAAACGAACCCAGGAGTCCTGGCTCGAGAGACCATCCGAAGCACAGAAATGGGGCCAAGGCTTGGAGCTTGGAACCAGACATGAGGAAACCCAAACCACAGACGGGTGGGCGGAAGGAACAGGACATACCAGCTGGGACAGAGGACTGGTCCCCAGATGTTGTTTCTCAGGGGCAGAGGGGAGGGTGGCAGGAAGGGACCTGGTTGGCTGGAGGAGGACAAAAGTCTGGCTTTTGTTTTCTTACGTCCGTTTGTTTGCTAACGTCTATGCCCTGCCTTTTCTTCCATCACGGAACTGGAGGCCGTTCAGTTCCCAGGAGGACACAGGAAGCCAGACCACAGTCCATCTAGCTCAGCCTTGTCTAGCTCTCTGCTCCTCAACCTTGGGTCACCAGATGTTGAGGAACAACTCACCCCTTGGTCCCAAGGTTGAAGAATATCTGGACTATCAGCAGCGCCCCAGGATTTTAGATGAGGATCTCTCTCTCTCCTAGCCCTCCCTGGCTGAACCTGGGACCTCCTGAATGTTGTTATTTAATATTGTTTACTCTTAAAAAAGCACACCCTGCTTTCCCCTTCCGTAAAGGAGATGCTCAGAGCACCTTACAAATGAAGGTAAAGGGTAAAGGGACCCCTGACCATTAGGTCCAGTCGTGGCTGACTCCGGGGTTCCGGTGCTCATCTCACTCTATTGGCCGAGGGAGCCGGTGTACAGCTTCCGGGTCATGTGGCCAGCATGACTAAGCCACTTCTGGCGAACCAGAGCAGTGCACAGAAACGCCGTTTACCTTCCCGCCAGAGCGGTACCTATTTATCTACTTGCACTTTGACGTGCTTTCGAACTGCTAGGTTGGCAGGAGCAGGAACCGAGCAACGGGAGCTCACCCCGTCGCGGGGATTCGAACCGCCGACCTTCTGATCGGCAAGCCTTAGGCTCTGTGGTTTAACAGCGCCACCTGCATCCCTTACAAATGAAACACACGTGTAAAAGCCACGTAAACCCAAGCGCCATATGAAAGTCATTTTAATTAGCAGAGGTGCTAATTTTGATGTAAGGTACGGTGACATTTTATTCACACGGGATTAAATAATTATTCTGAATAATAATGTTTGCCTTGTGCGCGGGGACTTTGGGCAAAGGTGTATTTTATTATTTTGATAAAATATTATTAATAATAAAAGCGTTGCAGGGGTTTTGGGGGGGGGTTGATCTGGAATGCTGGAAATCTGTAATAACAGCCCAGAATAGCCCCCAATCTCATTTCCCTGATTTTTCTTTGCCGGTAATTTGAAACTGGAGAGAGTGGGGAGGGGGTGAGTTTGAGGTGCTGTTGTACATTACTCTCGAGAAGACCACAGTGTGCTCTTCTTAAGAAGTACCCAGAATGTCATGCTAGGTGTGGAAGATATGAGTTTATTCTGGGGCTCAAATAACAGGAGAGGAGGTCCTGCCTCGGTGGATTTTATTAAGCGACCTCAACACACAAATGGTACTACCACCTCCCACTCCCTCCATAGTTTGAGCATGGGCTTACTCTTCCTGTTCCCCTATAATTTATCTGGTTAACGACTCAGTCTCCTTTCCAGATCTGTAAAATGGGAAGATTAGCTACTTTACAGGGATGCTGGATTTGCAAGGCAAAAACTGAGAGGTCCTGAGTACTGCCTTGTGGAGTAGAGGGTGAGACTTGGTCCTGGGAGAGAGAGATTTAAATCTCCGCTCGCTCTTAAATTCACCTGGCCACCTAGGTCATAAATAATGAACATGCAGCGCTCTGTAAGCTGGGAGCGCGAATGACTTCACAAGAACACTGCGAAGATTCATGAGCTTAGGAACGTAAAATCGCCTTAGACCTAAAACCGGAACAAATATGCTAGTAATCATTGCGTTTTAAAACAAGGCTGCTGTGGATAATGACTAAATATATCTACTTTTGTGCTTTCTTTCATCTCTCAGGTCTGAATCACAGCGCATCATTCTCATGCGAGGCCCACAACGATAAGGGGGTGGGCACATCTCGGACTGCAAAGGTGACAGGTGAGAGGATAAGTTGTGGGGTGCATTCCTAGAGCAAATGGAGACCTTTGCCAAGGCTGCAGCACAACTGCTTTAGGTACACTGTGAGGGTGAAGCTAAATGCATATTTGGATTTAACACGGAAGTTTTTAACAATGCAAACACTGTCAGCTGGTGTCTGTGATAATTAATGGGATCTGTGCAGGCACAGAGGGGAAATTCCTCCCCCTGCTGCAATTCTGGAGGAAAGCCCCATTTACGAAGCTAGGTTTTTTTGCTTAGGGAGAAAATCTTCTCAATTGCTCCAAGGTAGTGAGGGCGTCTGGGAGAATTTCTCCCAGTGAATATACTCGCTTCATAGGAGGAATGTTCATTAGGACCACAGGAGAGGAGGAAAGGGAAGGTGTCCACACACACACACACACACACACACACACACACACACCCTACACCTTCTCTTATCCTGTTAAGTAGCATCCCCCTTCCTCAGGTGATGCAATTTGCATTTTTAAAAACCCGGGCTTCAAATGCAAACATACAACACAAAGATCCTTTTTTAACTTGGCAAGTTGCCCTGAGTTTATAGGAGGAGCACATGCTACTTTCAGATCGCGGATTTGGATCATTACTGACAACCCCCCCCCGAAATTCCCTGCAAGTAGAAAATGAGCATGTTGAGCATAAGACTTGAGACAAAACCTTTATCCTTGAAATGCTAGCTTTCCATCAGCATTTAGAAAGGTAGCTGGCGCAATAAGTGTGCTTCGTGTAATTGCCCGAGTACAGTGGTGCCTCGCAAGACGAAATTAATTCGTTCCGCAAGTTTTGTCGTCTTGCGATTTTTGTCGTCTTGCGAAGCACGGTGTCGGGAAAGTTTTGGAAAAGCTTCAAAAATCACCAAAGTCTTTAAAAACCTCAAAAAGGCTACCACACCGTGTGCTATGAGTTGCTCCTCGAAGTCAAGTCGCAACTGTATTAACAGTGTTAAGAAAAAGGAAACAAACTTGCAAGACGTTTCCGTCTTGCGAAGCAAGCCCATAGGGAAAATCGTCTTGCGAAGCAGCTCAAAAAACAACCCTTTCGTCTAGCGAGTTTTTTGTCTTGCGAGGCATTCGTCTTGCGAGGTACCACTGTATTCTTTTTAAAATAAAGTTTTATTGATCTGCAATATATAACAATTACCAAAAAGAGAGAGAGAGAGAGAAGATGAAAAAACAAAACCCCAACTCATCCCCCTCGTCCCTCTAGGAACAGATCAATTCAGTTAAGTTTGCCAAAGTCCAATCTGTGGTTTTGGTAGTTGCTGTTGTTCAGGGTTATCAGTAAAGTATTTTATAAACGGAATCCTTGTATTCTTGACAACTTCTGGATCACAGTAATGATGAACAAGCCCGTGAGAAGGAGCCTGTATCCTAATCACAAGTGCGTAGGCCCTACTGACCACAGTGGGACTTACGTCTGAGTAAACATGCATAGGGCCACGCTGTAAAACACCCTCTTTTTGACTTTCCTCCGCAGTAAGCTCTTGTGGTATATCATACACCTGCTCTCTTACATCTTCCCTCTAGTGGTACCTGGGCGGCCAAGTGCCTTATCCCTTCTGCATCGTAGTGACCACCACCTGGAAGTGACGTGGGAACCAGGACCGAGTGGGGCCTATGCCCTTGAGTTCTGCACCATCCAAGTAAGAAGGGAAGCCTTGAAGCCAGCCCAAGTTCCCTCGCCCAGCTATTTTGAGGAAGGATGTCCCACTCGGCCACTTTCGCCCCTGCCCTTCGAGGGAACGCTTTTATTTTTAGGAGCCATTTCCTGGCCAGCTTCTGCTTCTCTCAAATGTCCAACCGGATGGCCTCATGACGTGTGACAAGCTCCCAGGAACAGGGAACTGAAAGAGCTTCGAAAAGGGATTGCAGAGGCCAGGAAACAAAACTGATAGCAAGGGGGTGGGGTGTTCAAATATGGGGCCATCTGTCCGTCCCCTTCTAGGGCCTGAGGTGGCAGAGTGATCTGTACCAGTTTGGGGTTTGGGTGGGCGCAGGTTTTGAATGTTTTCCCCACATCAAACAAAGCAAACTGCTCAAGAGCAGAAGGCAGGTGCCTCTGAGACAAAAATCCTCCTCCGCATTTTTTTTATTTAATTACATGTATTTATTCAAGTAAGGGACGCAGGTGGCGCTGTGGGTTAAACCACAGAGCCTAGGACTTGCCGACCAGAAGGTTGACAGTTCGAATCCCCGTGACGGGGTGAGCTCCCGTTGCTCGGTCCCTGCTCCTGCCAACCTAGCAGTTTGAAAGCACGTCAAAGTTCAAGTAGATAAATAGGTGCCGCTCCGGTGGGAAGGTAAACGGCATTTCCGTGCGCTGCTCTGGTTCGCCAGAAGCGGCTTAGTCATGCTGGCCACATGACCCGGAAGCTGTATGCCGGCTCCCTCGGCCAATAAAGCAAGATGAGCGCCACAACCCCAGAGTCGGCCACGACTGGACCTAATGGTCAGGGGTCCCTTTACCTTTACTTTACCTTTATTCAATTTGCTCAAGGTGGTGGCTCTTCTTTCTCACAACAGCCCTGTGAGGTAGGTGAGGTTGAGAGGCAGTGATTGGCCAAAGGACACCCAGCAAGCGTCATGGCCATGTGGGGATTCGAACCCTGGTCTCTCACAGGTCCTAATGTAGGGTTGCCATACATCTGGAACTTCCCAGACATGTCCAGGATTCCAATGACAGAATTAGCGTCTGTGGGGGAGTCTTGGAAAATCGGCAAAATGTCTGGATCTTTGAAATTTCCCCAATTGAGGAGAGCTTCAACACAGAGGGAGCTTTGAAAAAGTGTGACATGCCCCCTGCACTGCAAAGTGGTACAGTCTGGAATTCCGCCACAGAGATCGAGCCTTTGAGCCGATCCACACGTTATGCAGTCGGCGTAAATCCTGGACTGTTCCACTGCAAAGGGGAGGGGGAGTTTTCTTTTTTCTTTCTTCTTTATTTCATTCTTCAATGTTGTTACACGGTCCAGTGAGGCTTCATATAGAATTATAGAATTGTATAGTTGGAAGGTGTCCCAGAGGCAGGGGTGCCAACTTGCATAAAACATTGAGGAGGGGTGTGCTAAGCCCTGCCCCGCAAAATCAGTCACATTGTGCAGTGCCCACACACTATTTGAATGGCAATGCCCATCAACTTTTTTGGGGTGGGTTAGCCCCCTAAAAAAAAAAAAAAGGTGGGGGGCCCTAGGAGTCGGCTTCTATGCCCAGAGGGGCATCTCATGCAAGGCAGGAATCTCAGATTATTGTAGAGCATAATATGTTCCTAACTCCTGCCCCGTTGACCCATCCCCAGCACACGCTGCCTTTCCGTCCTCAAATCCTTACCCCTGATCCTTTTTCCCCAGGCTGTGCGCTCGGACGAGGACCTCAGCACCGTGTCGGACCGGGAACTCTATAACCAGAACCTCCATGTCCCCGCCGTTCAGCCACACCCTAGATGGCTTGAGCCCCTTCACCACCTACCACGTGCGGGTGTCCTGTCGCTCCCGAGAGGGCAACTCCCCGTGGACCCACTGGGTTGCTATGGAAACCCTGGAAGGAGGTGAGCTTGAAATGGGAGTTGGGGGGGGGAGAGTAGGTGGTCCGGATCCTTCTGGGTTTCTGCCCTGATCTCTTGGAGGAGAAAGGAAATCCACAGAGGGGTTCCCGCTTGGAAGCAAGAATGAGGAGACCAGACGTTTGCTTAGACTACCAAGCTCCCATCAGCCCTCCGGGCTGTTGGCCATACTAGCCTGGGCCTTATGGGGAGTTGGGGCCCAAGCCAACATCCGAAAGGGCCCACAGGGCTTCTCTGAACTTAGAGGAGGGGCCAGTTTGGGAAGCCAGGAAGATGGGAGGGGGCCTAACGTATGGCTTAGACCCAGTGGGCGTAGCGTGGGGGTGGCAGGGGGGCCAGCCGCACCGGGCGCAACATTTGGGGTTTAGGGCCAATCCATGGGTTAGGGGGCGCAAATCCACGGGTTAGGGGGCGCAATTACTGCCTGCCCCGGGTGCTGACAACCCACCCTACGCCACTGGGCTTAGAGCAGGGTTTTCCCAACCTCGGGTCTTCAAATGTTTTCGACTACAACTGCCATCATCCCTAGCTGGCAGGACCAGGGGTCAGGGATGATGGGAGTTGTAGTCCAACAACCCAAGGTTGAGAAAGGCTGGTTTAGAGTCAGAGTTTCCTAGCTGCTTTTGGACTACAACTCCCATCATCCCTAGCTAGCAAGGCCAGTGGTCAGGGTTTATGGGAACTTTAGTCCGAAAACAACTGGAGACCCATGGTTGGGAAACATTGGTTTAGAGAGTAACAGTGGTTCTCAAAGAGTGTGGCCTGCCACTCTGGCATGGCAGGAGAGGAAAGCAGTTATAGCTGGAATATTCAAGGGCATCAAAGAAACATTTAAACATTAGGATAGGATAGTACCGAAATGATTTCTCCGCAACCTATTGTTGTGAACAGGGATTTTCAACTCTGACAAATGTGAAAGATCAGAAAAGAGGACTGCTTTTTTTGTGTTCATGAGAGTATGTCTCGAATTAGAACCTAATAAAAATGAGATTACCCAGCAAAAGCAAGCTCACCTCTCTCATTGAATTGCTATACGTACTTAAAGTCCATGCATAAGAGGTTCATTTATTATTGTATTTTGGGAGTGATTTGCCTTCTTATGTAGCTGCTTTGTTTTATACTTTCCGGACGTCCCACAATCAAATCATAAAGTAGTTGCGTTATATGTTATAAATCAAGCTAGGAGTGTTTCTTTTTTGTTTTCCAATGCATTTCTTATCAATAAAAACATTCGGTGTGGCCCGAGCAAACGGTTATTCTGAAAGTGTGGCTCAGAGGAAAAAAGTTTGAGAACCAGTGGTTTAGAAGCTTAGACCGTGGTTGTTACCAGTCAAGTGGCTGAGGCTGGGCTATAGCCGCTTGCCTGACGCCTCTTTGTGGCTAATGAGAAAGGGTCATGGCCGCAGTGTTTCCATTGTAACGTACACTTTTCCGCGGCAGTGCCCACCGCTCCGCCAGAGAACATCATGGCCACGCAGAATGGCACCTGCACCATCGTGCAGTGGCGAGAGCCGCGTGGCGTCATCAACGGGATCATACGCGGATACAAGCTGGTCTGTCAAAGCGGCGACTCGCCCGAGGTGAGGAACTCCTTTCTCAGGACTGGAGAGGGCACCCTCCCCATTGACCCCCTGTAATTAACCTGAGCCATCGCCCGCCATTTTCCTAATCCCCTGCCTGGTGTTTTTCGCCACCCTCTCCCTCTCCACCAGGTGGTTGTGGATGTGGGGCTGACCAACGAGACCGTCTTGAACCTGAACAAAACAGTACACAATCTGACCGTCCGTGTCGCGGCCTACACACAAGCAGGAGACGGACCCTGGAGCAAAGCCATCATGGTTTCAACTGGGGATGTCGGTAAGGAATACGAGATAATGTGTATTTATTTTTTTTTGGCGGGGGGTGGGGGTGGGTTTCCCTCACAAGCTTTAGTGTTGTGGCAAATAACAGAAGCACAGGGAAAGGAGAGGGTGGGGGAAGTTACATAACAGCATCATTTGTTTCCTTGGATGCTGCCCAAGGGGTCTACTCTGACTAATGTAGGATACGGTCCAAAGAGTTCAGACCCAGAATGATGAAACCGGTTAAGGACTACTTGAAATAAATAAAGTTCCGTTTTCATAGCCAATTATCCCTGCACATCTTTCTAAGTGTATCATATGTGATATGGGGGAATCATTTGGCTGCCAAAAAAAATAAGCTTTTAAAAAAAATATTCCTTAACTGTTCCCAACTGTTTCCCAACTCCTTGGTGGTTCTTCCAAAACGATCATTTGATCTCTCTTTTTGTTTTGTTTCGTTCTTCTGGCTGAGCCTTCGACTTCCTGCTTTCTAAGAATGGTTCTGCGTTGGGCAATTCCTGATCTCAGTCCTGGTTCTGATCTAGCTGGATCTCCTGCTTCTAATTTGTATCCCACTTCTTGTTATGATGGCTTCTGGCGCCTTGCGGAGTCACAGAAACTGAAGCTGGTTATAAAACAGGACCCATGCTTTCTGCTTTAGGAGTTTTGATTCTCTTTGATGTCCCCAGAAAAACGGCCTGAGGCCCTGTTGGCGGAAGCTTGACGCTGACATTTGGCTTGGAGGGAGACCATATTCAAATCATTTATATATTGTTTTTTTCTCTTTTACAGATGAACTGCCGCAGCCCCAGCCAGGTAAGAACAGTGCATAACACTCTACCCGCGACCTACAGAAATGATTTGGGATTTTGGGATGGGCAGCATCGGGGAATGAGAGGCGGTGCCGTTTCCTTCTAGAACATTCCAGAGAGCACTTTGTTCTGGAAATCTGCTTTCCTTCTTTCTTTCTTTTGGTGTTGGCTATTTGATTATATCTTGTTTTGTTTTGGCTTTTCTCTTGCGATAATAAGAATAAATTAAAACTTTGTTTTCCAAAAGTTCCCCAGTGTAGGCAATACCTCGTGACCAGGCGAGAGGGCGACATTGCTCTCCTTTTTCAAAATGGCTCCTCTAGGAGGAGAAGGAGCTGCAAGGGTTTGTGTGTTTTGTGACTATTGGCAGGGAGGAAGATGGGGACGTGGGGAAGGCTGCATATTTGCCTTCCACCTGCCTTCCCATTTTGATTAGGATATTTTCAATTTTTGTGACACAGACACACCTGCTTTGGCTGCAGGAAACATATGAACAAAAGGATTGGAAAGGACCAAGGAGATAGTGCAGGGGATTCCTAAACACACTGAGGATCTTTTTAGTTCGGTTCCAACTGGGATTTTTATTGAACTTGGTTACAATTTGTTTTCATGGAAATTTTATATTGAACTTACACCGGAAAATTCTCAAGGCCAAGTTTGACTGACAGAATCGCACACTTCTCCAAGACTGTGAACTGGATTAAGATTTTGGGATGTGGGGCAGTTGTTTTCAAACGTCACAGCCTAAAGTGGTGTAGGAAGTGTTGGTTTCTAAAAGGGTGGATTTTATTTAAATCACTAGTCAGTAAGACTTGATTTAAATCATTATTTTTTTTACAGAAAGACTCTTAATATTTACAACCAGATGAAGGTTTCATTTTTGGAATAATAAATTTTCAGAGTAGTTTTTATAGTTATATCAAAAATTACTGATTTGGTTATACTTTTAGAAATACATTGACAGATAATTATGAAATTATTGTGAGGTTTAATAAGTTAGCTGTTTATATTTGGACAACCTTTCTGCTGTACTTTATTGGAAGGAGAAAAATCATTTCCTTAATAACAATTTAAACAATTTTCTTAACTAAAATAATAACATTATAGCATATGTATCCATGTTTGTTAACTGGTGTTTGTTAACTGACGATTTAAAAACACAAAACAAAAAAACCTTAGACTGAGTTTTAGCACACATGAAAAACTTAAATCCTGATGAATAGCCTTTGGACTATAATGTAACAAATAGGAAACTATTTTTCCTCCAAAAGCATTTTATTTTAAAAATCCAATTTAAATTTTAAAAAATCCAATTTAAATTTTAAAAAATCCAATTTAAATTTTAAAAAATCCAATTTAAATTTTTAAAAAATCTGATTTTTTTTTTTTTAAATCATTGATTTTTATCCACCCTGGTTTCTAAGGAGAACTCATCCGGCTGCCAAAAAACTAGAAGATCCCCTCATCTTCCCCTCAGCATCGTACTTGGTCCCAGATTCGGTCGATGGATTCTTTCCCCTCTTCTTCCAGTTTAAACAGTAACAGGGGCTGCCTGCTCACCGTACACTTAAAGCACATTGCCCTCCACTCCAAAGAATCCTGGGAAATGTAGTTTGTTTCGGGTGCTTGCAGTAAACTACAATTCCCAGGAATCTCTGGGGGAAATGTAGGTGCTTTAAATGTATGTCGTGTGCACAGCCGAGACAGGGAAAGGTGTGTGGGAATGTTCAGGCAGGCAGGAGAGGCTATATTGTTTATTAATGTCCTTCCTAACTTGCTCTAGCAAGATCCTTAGCAGAGTTTTACATTCCCCTTTTAATGCACAGCCGGTAGCTGGTTGCGGGCTTGTGTAAGCCTCTCAATACCATACAATTCGGTATTGAATTGTATGTTCCTGGTGAGTTCCCTTTTTATCCCTCTTAAAAGAATAAACACACGACAATCTTATTGAGAGTCAGTAAAAGAGGTTTACTCACAGCACCATCAGTTCACAGTTGGATCCCTGAAAGCAGACTTAGTTACAAAGTATGTGGAGCGATCCCATATGGGGATAATCCCAGTGTCCTCTGTTGGCTGGAAGCCACCAGGGCATCTCTAGCTAAAAACTGCTCCAACGATGGAAGAAGTCAAAGAGAGGAGAGAGAGTGCTGTGTGCCTTGTCCTTTTGTTACCTGGACAGGTAAGGTCACACCCACCTGTAGTCACATGCAAAGGAAGTGTGCCCAGCCAGGAGGAAACAGGAAGTTTTCGACTGGCTGGACCAAACATTCCCCCGCATGTCCACTCTAGGAAAACAAGGAAAGTTGTACTTGACTGCTACTTATGTATCACATCCCACAAGGTGATGCGCTGGATGGGCAACCGGAATGGCTCCTCCCATTGACCCTTACTCCTTTTCCTTTCTCCGTAGTAGAAACCACCGCCCCTGCCTTCTCCTGGCACTGGTGGTACGTGGTAATTGCCATAGCCACAGCCACCGCTGCCGCCGCCTTCATAATCATCTTCTTGGCGCGGATGAGGAGGAAGGAAACCCGCTATGGGTAAGTGGAGAACGGACACCTGCCATGGATGCTTTCGTTGGGATTCCTGCATTGCAGTGGGTTGGACTAGATGACCACTGAGGGCCCCATCTCGCCTTTCTGTGATTCTGTGACACCGGTTCTGGTAGCTTCTCCTCTTTCACTGTCTGTTTCTCTCCTCCTGCCCATTCTGCAGGGAAGCATTTGAACCCAGCATGGAGCAGGGAGAGTTGGTGGTCCACTACCGAGTCCGCAAATCCTACAGCCGCCGGACCACCGAAGCCACTTGTGAGTGTCATGGAAGGAGTGAGTCCGCTTTTCCCAACTACCCAGCATGCATTGCGCCCGAGCCTTGTGGTCCAGGATCCAACAAGGAATGCTCCCACCTCCACCACAGTTGTAGGTTATTCCCAATATACAGACACCGCCCAATGCTCTTTTTCGGCAGATATCAGATATTGTCTCCTTAATTTGGTGGTTCCGCCTGCCTTCTTCCCGTCTTTTGCCTCAGTCATGGCCGCTGCTCTTTGCAGTCTCCTTGACGCAGGGCCCTGCAACAGTTTGATATTCAAACCTGCTTTTGACAATATTTGGAGAAGTACGACAGAGACATTACTGGCCATTATGATTTCTGGGTTGAGCCCAATATTCCTGCCTCCCTGGTCCCACTGTCACTCCCAGGGCCTGCCCAAGTCGTTTTGCTGCATCCTGATGACACCCATGCCACTGCTATGACCGCTACAAATCCTGCTCCCTACTGTCACCCCTGCAATGCCACAGCATCATGGGCGAAAATCCAGCAGGGCTGACGATGAGGCGGTCAGATCTGCTTCCTGAGGGAAATGGCTTCACCTCACCTCACTGAAGGGCCGCTCTAAAAGCGAGCTCAGGTAGGGAGTGTCGGTGGGTTTGAATGAAAAACAGGGCTGCTGAGAAAGAAGAGGAAGGTATCTGCATACTCGGGAGAATGCCAAGGTTTACAAAATACGAAAGATTTAACGGGCCCAAAACAGCCCAGTGAAGATGCTTTGTGTGTTCAGGAACTACGTCTCCACTGGAAAAGAAAACTTAAGACACCTGGCAAGGGGAGGTGAGAGCAAGAAGGGGTGGCCTTTCTGGTTTGGAAAACTCTTGTTTTGCTGGCTCGGAAGTGAGAGGAATGACCTGAGCTGAAAGAGCTTAAATAGGGCTCCCAGACAGTCAGAAAATTAGGCTGGAAGCCACACAGGGCCTGGCGAAATGCTCTCAGCAACAGCAGGAGATGAAAAGGGCTGGTGCTTCTTGGCTGGCCTATTGGTTGAGGTTTCTTTGAAAGCTTGAAGGACCCTGGCTCTTGTTTTTTGAAGGGCCAAACAACTAACCACCCCAGCCCTTCTCCAACTACATTTAGAAATCAGGCTGCCTTCCCTATCCTCCCCCTGTTTAAACCCCGCATCTTGGTCTGTGACAGAGACCAGGAGGTGTGGGCCCTGTGATGGCCGTGTGCATAATGTGCTGTGACCTTCTCTCTCTTTTTTCCTTTTCTTGTGACAGTGAACAGCCTGGGCATTAGCGAGGAGCTGAAAGAGAAGCTGCGAGACGTCATGATAGATCGCCACAAGGTGGCCCTGGGGAAAACCCTCGGTGAAGGTACATTAACCTGGTCAACTGGCACTTGTTTCCAAGATGGAGGCTTCTCCTCAGTGAGGCATAGTTGGGGAGAGACCTCAGGCCAAGTGGGATCCGATTGGAATGGTTAACAACAAGCCAAGGGCCGTAGGCAGCCAACCAGAGCCAACAATCACCTGAGTGATGACTATGTGGGCCGCCATTTTGAACACTACTTGCCCTTAGGCCGGGGGTTGGCAAGGTTTACCTTGCCTGAGCCGGTTCACTCCCGCGGAGATCGCCCTGTGGGCCAGATCGTTTCTGCGCAGGCGTGATTTCTGGCATCTGCAGATGTGATTTCCGGTGTTTGCACATGCGCAGACGCGATTTCCGGCCCTGCGGAAGCGAGTCCCTGCTCCGCGCTGTGCCGGTTCAGCACAGTGCGTGGGGACTCACTAAGTGGGTGGCTGTGCTGGTCCCGTGGGTTAACCGTGAGGCGAGGTCCGAGTCCAGTCCGAGGTCGAGGGTGCAGTATGGAGGCAGTCCGTCAAAGCTGAAGCTGGGTCCAAGGCAGGGAGTCGGGTGAGGTCAGGAGCTCCAGCAGGAAAGCAGGACAGGGTGCAGGCAGGAACTGGCTACCAACAATGTTGCTCTTGCAACCTGGGACTGGGCTGGCTGGCTTTTATCTGCCCCAAGGCATAGGGCGGCCCCCATCCTCTGGTGACTCGCCTCTCCTGGCCTGGAGGCGAGCACTCCTCCTGCGGGAACTTAGTTCCCTCTGCCTCTCTGCCCTGAGCCTCTGCAGCTCAGGAGAGGCTGGAGGGTTACCAGACCCAGAGGCAACCTCAGCTTCCTCTGATGGGGCTGAGAGTGGAGCACCTGCAGGCAATGGGTCCTCCATCTCCTCAGGAACCAGAGCAGACTCAGCTGATGCCTGCACCTGAGGATCCAGCACAGGTGAGGACCCTTCAGGCTCAGGCCCCAGCCCCGGCTCAGCTGGTTCTGGAGGCAGGGAGTCCTGTGCAGGCTGGGATTCCTCAGGTTCAGCCTCCGAGTCCGAATCCCAGGCCATCACAGTGGCTCAGTTCGGAGGCGGCTCGTGGGCCGTTTAAATGACCCCTGTGGGCCGCTTGTGGCCCATGGGCCGCAGGTTACCGAACCCTGCCTTAGGTCTTTCTTTCCTCAGCAGCTTAGTTTCCAGGCCAAGGCAGATGGCCACTTTCTCCTTCACAAGTGCATACAGATGTGTCTGGAGACTACAGCATTAGGGGCTTTCTGATTTAGAGAAAGAGCCAGGGAGAGGCAACAGGGTTTATTTTTATCTGGCTGCCTCCATTGAACAGCTCTTGAACCTTTTGGACATTAATTGGTAGACAGGTACGGGACTTACACATGGCACAAATAACAAAGCTGCAGATCAAACTTTTTCCAAAACGCAGTACAATGGTTACATACACTTCAGGTTACAGACGCTTCAGGCTACAGACTCCGCTAACCCAGAAATAGTACCTCGGGTTAAGAACTTTGTTTCAGGATGAGAACAGAAATCGTGCTCTGGCGGCGCAGCAGCAGCGGGAGGCCCTATTAGATAAAGTGGTGCTTCAGGTTAAGAACAGTTTCAGGTTAAGAACAGACCTCCAGAATGAATTAAGTACTTAACCCAAGGTACCACTGTATGCTTTTACTTACAAGTTTTAGTAAGGCAGCACATTAAATAATTCTTGGGAAGTTAATTTTAGAAAGCAAGCTAATTTTACAGTTTGTGTAGTTACCATAAAAGCAAATAGAAAACAGAGATAAATGCAAACAGCTATGCTTATTCTAATCTGTCTCCCTAACCAGGCCAATAATTATCCACTTGCACCCTTCACCTCGGCTTCTAGGTCCCTTTGGAGTCTTTTCCTTTCAGCTGCAATGCCCACTGTGCTCTCCTAACATTTCCTGCATTCCTAAAGTGTTTCATCTCTCTTTCTTTCTTTCCGTCCTCCAGCTCCAAACTCCACAACTAACTCTTCTACTTCTCCAATAAACTATGCTGTTTTCTAGCTTGTGTACAGTATTTTCATTTCCCTTTCCAACCTTTAAGCCAATCAGAAGGAAAAGAGAATTCCGATTAATTTTCTATTTCCCTTTGATTGCCAGATTCCTAAGCTGAACTTTTGACCCTTCTGTGCAAAACATCTCCTTGTACTTTTGACCCTCAAACATTTCACTATTCTGTGCAAGAAAGCTTCTAAAACGAAAAACAATTTTATATCAACCGGCTGAATACAAAATAGCAGGACGCTTTCAGGGGAGGAGAGGGTCAAAAGTATCCTTTTCCCATCCTGTTGGTGTTAGCACTCCAATTTAGAGGGAAAGAATGTGTGTTATGGCCCTAGACTAGGACTTAGGGGCTTCTAAACCACTGAGCTTCTTGGACTTGCTAATTGGAAGGTTGGCGGTTCAAATCCACGCAACGGGGTGAGCTCCCATTGCTCTGTCCCAGCTTCTGCCAACCTAGCAATTTGAAAACACACCAGTGCAAGTAGATAAATAGGTACCACTGCGACGGGACGGTAAACAGCGCTTCCATGCGCCCTGGCACTCATCACAGTGTCCCATTGCGCCAGAAGCGGTTTAGTCATGCTGGCCACATGACCCAGGAAAGCTGTCTGTGGACAAACGCCAGCTCCCTTGGCCTGAAAGCGAGATGAACACCACACCCCATAGTCGCCTTTGACTGGATTTAACTGTTCAAGGGTACTTTACCTTTACTTTACCTTTACACTTAACTTTCCACTGCTCTTTTCAAGTATGGTCCATACTTTAAAACTCAGGTTTTGAGCACCTTCCTTTTTGCTCCAGATACTTCCCTGTAAAAACCCGCTCTTTAAAGCTCAATTGGAGCAAACATCACTCAACAGAAAACCCAAATTGACGTTTGCTCCAATTGAGCTTTATAGTGCAGCTTTTTGCAGGGAATAAACAACGCTCAGACACAGAGTGTTAAAGCATGGACCTCTGCCTGGCAAGAGCTGGGCATAAAGTAAATGTGGATAAGTCCTTATTGGTGGCACAGGGCTCTGGCAACTGGAGCTTAGCGGAGATGGATCCATGCCCCAGTCTGTCCCATGTGGATCTGCAGACACCAGAGCCTGCCTCTTCTCCCTTCAGCCCTAAGGAGACACTTCTGCTGCTGTACTAGGGTTTCTGAAACAGTCTCCAGCTGCTGTTGGACTCCAATCATCCCTAGCTAGCAGGACCAGTAGTGATGATGGGAATTGTAGTCCCAAAACAGCTAGAGACCCAAGTTGGGAAACCTTGTGCCAGACTCTGGTAGCCAATCACAGGCTACTCAGGGGATCAAGAGAGCTTTCAGGGGAGATCCTTTCAATTGGAAATCCCGTTACAGTCATACCTCGGGTTGAAGTAGCTTTGGGTTGAGCATTTTCAGGTTACATTCTGCGGCGACCTGGAAGTAACAGAACACGTTACTTCCAGGTTTTGCCGCATGCGCATGCGCTCAAAACAACGCCACGCGCATGCATGGAAACGGCGAATCGCAACCCGCACAGATGCCAGTTGCGTTTGCTTCAGGATGCGAATGGGGCTCCGGAATGGATCCTGTTCGCATCCAGAGGTACCACTGTACCTTGAAGGAGCCAGCCAAAGGTACTAGCTGGTCAAGTGGCTGCATTCATGGTGCCAGGGACTACTTAACTATGTAACAAAACCCAGCCGCTTGCCCCAGGACTTGGTGGCTTAAGAGTGCTCTCTGTGGTCCTGAAACCTTTTGAATTGCTGGCTTTTTCCTTGCCTTACTCCTGACATGCTGTCTTGTCTGCCTGCCTGGGGAACCAGGAACTACTGAGATGTCCTTGCTTGGACCACCAGCTCTTTTTTGGGGGGTGCATCTCCACAGATCGTGACACTATGCGCAGTTGCACACATGTCCACCTGAGGAACAAATCACTGGTGTGTGGGACGCTTTGAATTCGTTGCTTCCTAAACTCATTTCTTTAGAGCAGGAAATAAAAGCTCTGGGTCACAAACAGGGCGATGTAGGGGAAGCGAAGCAGAAATTCATCTGAGCTCCAGAACCTGTTTCCCAATTCCAAATCACATGATATGAAAACAGTTACCAGGACTATCGTTAAGAGTTGTTGTTTTTTATCACTGGATAACCCTGGAAGATTCTCACTCAGCTAGGACAATGGGGGGGATTCTTCTTGGTCGAAGGGTAAAGGAAATCAACTGCTGCATGAGAGACAAGGACAAACTCCCTTGTTTCCTTTCCTGATTAAACGTCAAGGCCTTGTTTCTAACGTAGCCAGGATAATCAGTAACATATAACATCAAGTGCAGGACGAACAGCCCAGAAGCGCTTCGGCCTAGTTTCCTTGCTGCAGAAACGCCGAAGGACGGAGGGCTGTTTTGCTCATTTGGGTCGGAGGACTGGCAAAGTTTCCGCCTCAGCTCCGCAAAAAAGTTTCCTCTAAGCGCAGCTGGGATTAGTTTGGAAGCATATGGAAAGCAGAGATGGAAAGGCCCCTGGCTATGGCACATATGTTCCCCCTTGAACATTTCCACCCTGTGCCTCTCTCTTTTTTGTGGCTGCCCTTTTTCTGGAAGCGGGGAGGGCAGGGACTTGACTTGCACAGCCTCAGAGGAAGCAGGCTTAACACAGAGCTAGGCCGCTGGTCCATCTCACTCAGCATTGTCTGCACAGACCGGCAGCACCTCATCTGCGTTTCAAGCGGGATTGAACCTGGGACCTTCTGCTTGAAAAGCAGATGCTTAATAATAATAATAATAATAATAATAATAATAATAATATATTATTTATACCCCGCCTATCTGGCTCCTGAAGGAGCGTCTCCACCACCATCGTTCAGCCCAGACACTGAGATCCAGCGCTGAGGGTCTTCTGGAGGTGCCCTCATTGCGAGAAGTGAGGCTACAGGAACCAGACAGAGGGCCTTCTTGGTAGTGGCACCCGCCCTGTGGAACGCCCTCCCATCAGATGTCAAAGAGATTAACAACTACCTGACATTCAGAAG